TGCTTCAAACTTTATTTGTGTAGATAACAATCCTGAATATATTCCATCAGGAAAAGTCGGAAATGATGGCCATCTGATGTATGTGGTAAATTCTAAATGTGGCCCGTTACCATGCCCACCATACGAGGAAAATCGTCAGGTATACTGTGTCGTTTGCTCAAAATAAAGTATATAACTGTATGTCTTATAGTACAGTATTACTGTAATTTATCTGTTAGGTGTTTTGGTTGTCAATGATACTTTAAGAAAATATGAATACAATATGTCAAACAAGACGTTAAAGCAGTAGACAACATAGCTGTATATTTTGACTGCCAGATGATTGCTGGGGGATGAATTTGATAATTGAAACAAAAAGCCTTTATAAAATCAAACATAAAAAAAAAAAAATCGCACACACACACAAAAACCTTGCCTTACAGACTCCAAATGTATTTCATGCCCAATTTTTTCCACAAATCGAATAAATTATGATAATCTGTCTATCATTACAAAATACTTTTTGATTGAAGGCTGTTCGGAAGTATCGATCTGTTTGTGGCTGCTATTTTAGATTTCAAATGGTTGGGATAGATTGTTTACTGATGGTAGCAACATACCGAAATCCGTGGAGGGATCCGAAACCCGAGAATAAATTACAAGAAAAATACAAACGGTTTGGTAAGTAAAATCTGAATCCGATTCCCACGAAGCATAATCCTCCTTGGGAATCGGATTCGGATTTTACCTACCAACCGTTTGTACTTTTCGGGTGAAATTGCTCCTCGGGGTTAGAAAATCCCTCCGCAGATTTCGGACAGGGATACCCAGTGTGCAAACTTTCACATGTTAAATTGTTTCCAAAGTTAACATAGAAATACGTGTTTCCTCAATTATATATATATTCTTTATTCCAAAAGCAATACAGCTTATAGGTATCAAGTGCAATAAATATTACATTAAATATAGTAAGCAACAAATATTACAATAAGGTAATTCATTAATATACAATTCATACAATTAAAAACAAATGTAGGAGCATGACATTAATTAACACAATTTAACAATCTTAATTAAAGTATGATATACACATTCAACGATTACGAATTTTTTCGGCAATACATAAATACTTCCCAAAATTATTAAGTTCTTTTATATTACGAACAGATAACAATTGTATAAGTTTAAATACTGATGGATTTCTCCAATAATAAAGTTTAATATACTTCATACGAATATCTTTGTATCCAATACATTCCAAAATAAAATGATATTCATCTTCAACAGAATTACAGTTGCACACATTACATATTCTTTCGTTTCTGTTTATATTTAAAAACCTTCCAGTTTCAATGTTTAAGTTATGTGCATGTATACGGTACTTGCTTATTAATGGTTTATATCTAAAATTAACAGGTCTACTAAGATAAAACTGCAAACCATGACTGTCATATATGTATTTGTAAAACTGACATTTAGAAGACTCCTCAAAAAATGACATTGCTTCAGATATAAACCTGTCAGTAACACGCTGTTTGAAATCAGCTATAAAAACATCTACATTTAAAACATTTTGTGTCAACCAGACATGACTTAAGCCAAAATTACATAATAAATCTCTTATTTTACATGACCAATTCAATTTATTTTTACTTAATTAATGATACCAGGTGATCACATGGTGATCACATCCATACCGTGTAAATGATTTTATTTAAATAATGCATGTTTGATTTACTGACCTCATATACAGATTCAAACATTAAACAATTAATAATTGAGCAAATTCCAAAATTAATATGTTTTCATCCAAAACTTTGAAAGTACAATATTCAAATAATTCATTGTATCTGAAAATTATATCATGTACGTCAGTTGAACACAGAGCGATTAAATAAAGAGAAAAAATAATTTATTTTCAATGCCAAATCTTTTGCTTTTATGTGATTTATGTGCAACCATGTCTGATACTTAAACGTCGCTAGATTTTTAATTTACATTAAAAATGAAAAATATTCATTTTGTGTCTATCTTGATTTTACGATCGTGTTTTTAAGTCAAAATATCAAAAGGTTAAGAGGTACTCGCACTAAGATATAAATGTGTTAATATGGGTATGGTCATTGAAAACCGATAATATATTCCTGACGTAAAACAGTTTGTAAAATTACAAAAAATACACTGCGTTTAAAAACATTACTGAAAGTTTAATATCAGATCAAATTTAATTGATTTATTTTTGTTTTTTTTCGGAGATGATGAAATGAAAAGAAATGTGGGTTGGAATACAAAAAGTGAAAGAATTTGAACACAGGTAATAAATAGAATTCGAAATAATGGGTAGATTGGCAAAATTTTAAATCATCACCAACCCCAACTTAATTTTGAGTTCCAGTAATTGACATATGTTGCGAGTCATTGGCAGTCATGGCAATCATATGCAGAAATACAATCATGCTACATCATACGCTGATAAAAAAACATGAAATTGATGGTATTTTTATACGAGATGTAAAATAAAATAAAACTATAAATTTCAGATTTGAAAATTGTTTCATTAACTTCAAATAGATTGTTTATACTTTGAAATGAATTTTGATTAAATTTTATAAAGTTAAAGTACATATGTTTACAACAATACGTCATGATATTGCCAGTCAGTGAACGAACTGTACTTTGATCATCAAAATTGAACCTGAGGATAAAATATTGCTGCCAAAATTAAGAAAAGAGGAGACGCTCCAAAGAGCATTTTCTCTTAACAATGAGCATAACGAATTACATTTAAAAACGCCACTACATTTGCAACATGAAGAAACATTGTAACGAATTAATCAAGGAATGCATTTTGTGTTTATTCTATACGTCAAGCAGTCATCAATATTATGTTTTGTTGTTTGACGAAGGGAATTGCTGCACAAGGTAAAAACTTATGGTGCACTTTAGTTGACAGTTGAGCATGGATGAATATGTTGCTTTGATGATACAACGTTCTGCTGTAGATACAAACTACAAAGTTCTGACGATTTACAAACTTTTTTATATAAAAAAAAGAGATTTTGTATGATTGGCAATGCGACAACATCCACCTGCGATCGTTTTCCCCCCAAAAAAACTTACGAAAATATATACTCTTAAGTCATGAACATTTCAGTATAAGTTACGATAAATGTTTGTCGTAAAACATAAGATTTTTGTGTGAAAAGAACCACAGAGTCCAAAGGACGAAAATATGTTAAACTCTAAAAGATCATCGCAAAGCATTAAGCAATAAGCAAAACCCATACTGTATCGTAAGTTATAAAAGGTCCCAGTATGACACAATGTGAAACAATGTAAAGAGAAAACCAATGGCCTTAGTATGTTAAAACATGCAATAAACAAAATACAATAACTTGTTTTCAGAAAGCGTTTAACCCTCCCCTTACCTTGGAAATTGGTGTAGCTGTCCAACATAAGAACACACCGTAAAAATTAGTTGGACATGGCTTAACTTAACAGATCGGCACTAAGGCACAATCTTAACAAAAAGAAAAAAAACGATATAAGAAGCATCGAGCCAATTTCAACTATAAATAAACGTGATTAAATAGTTGTCTCGTTAGCAATTATACCACATCTTATTTTTTATAAAATATCAACCGGTAAAATTCCAAGTGTACACAGTATAAGAAATTACGTTTTATCCGTGGATTGATTGCTACTTAACGTCCGGTGGCAAATATTACATGGATTTTATAGACCATTATCGCATAATGATAATGTTATCTTGCTTCTAGTTCAACACGCCGAGTCGGATTGTGTTAAATGAGAGTCTGGATGGGGTTTACAGAATAGAGAATAATGGATAAAAGTGCAGATTAAAAGGCAAAAAATAGAAATAATAGGGAAAATAGGCCCAAAAATTAAGAATAGAGAACAATGTGGTGCTGAAATATAAAGAATAGAGAATAGGTGTACAAAAAGATAAAGAATAGATAACAATGGTATAAAAAATTAAAGAAAAATAAAACAAGAATAAAAAATAGAGAATAAAAATAGAAAGAAAAAAATAATAAAGAAAAATGGTCTAAAAAGTTAAAGAATGTAGAAATGAAGGACCCCCATCCAGACCTTCATATACCTCGCATGGTAACAGTCAGCAGAAAGATAATTTTGATACACTACCTGACACTTTATTCTGCTCCCAAGTCTACCAATCTTTGCTCTTACTAGTAATTTCCTCCTGCTTGGCGGAAAAACCGTAATTACTTATTTCAAAGTGTTTGTTTGACCTGCTCAAGGATCGAGCCAACGACCTCACACTCTCAAGATCTAGAGAGCATGCTACCAAGAGACCACCGAGGCGGTTATAATTGATGTTTATTAACATACAATAGTAAAATATAAATTAATCGAGTCGATACAATGATATATATGCAAACATTATATCGGATTTTACTATATTGCATAATTTTGTCAAAACTTCAACTTGATTAAAACAGTCAAAAAAAAATCGATCACCAGTATCATGTCATGTAGTAACAGAAACATCGTAGAAGGGGTGACACGGGGTGGTCATTTCCAAAATTACCCTTTTTGTAATTTTTCCCATTTCTCCCTTTTTTTGTTCTTTTTCCCAGATCCCACTTTTTTATCCCCTATATCCAACATCCTTGCCAGTTTTACCCCCTATATCCCACTATCCTACTTTTTTTTATCCCTTATATCCCTCATCCTAAAAGCGTGCAAACCTCTAATCGTATTCTTATTATTCAATTCAATTCTTATTCAGTCTTTAATATTTTACCCAAATACATGCATCTGTATATATATTTTGTTTATTTTTCTAGAACACGAGCAAAACGTTTTTAACAACTTTTTTAACGTTATACACATGCAACTACGATGTATAACTTGCATCAAAATATCATTAATTTCATAAATGCACACTGATTTAAACGTCGGGACAATAATTTGAAGATTTGTAGAATAAATTTCATGCATGGGATGCTTAACTAATATTATTGTGTCATAACAAGTATAAAAGGAAAAACTTTAGCATTTTGCATGTATTTCCAAATGGAATTAACAACATTCGCCACGTGTTTTATAATACTAATTGGATCTAACATTTCTAGTGGTGCAGGTAATTTGTCTATACGCCTATATTTTTTTTGTTTAGTCCAAATATTAGTTTAATTACTTTTAAATTACTGAAATGCAAAAATGTTGAAATATCTTTTAAAAAATTGTTCAGTCAAAAAGTTTAGAAACCCATGTCCGTCGCATTCAATTGTAAATCATAATCAAACAGCATACGCTTAATTTGATGCAAGTATTAAATGCATATTATAGTAAGATGTAATAAAATATGCATTTTCATCTTATTGTTGTTTTACTATATCGTATATTTGCATAATTTAAGACATGTATGAATGTACATTTTCACGCCAAATAAACTTGATTCTAAGATCAATTCTAAAATCTCTTAAAACTTTATAGTTATGTAAACAATACATTACAAGGCGTTATAAAATACCATTTAATTTTACGTACATCATGAAATAAAACACTAATGCATGGCCCACCGTTTCCCACTTTGAATTCTTCAAATTTCAGCAGAAATATTGATGTGTTCATTTTAAATAAAATGACAGACATTGAATAAGAAAACAAAAAATAAGATACCTTTGTCTGACTTGAACTATAATATTTAACACACATATAAGAGCGCCGTCGTGTCCTGAAGTTCGGAATTGCAAAAAATGGGACTATCTGATCTGATTAAGTGATGATTAATATACAAACAGATTAACTGTTGTTAGATAATGAACTTCAAACGGTGTATTTATACGCACTGTAAAGCATGAAAGTAAACTATATTCATTCAACAACATGTCCTTTATGTAATCACCGGAAAAATGGCTCAACTATTGTATGCCACAGTGTTATTGTTTCATGACATTGATTTAAGGGGTAAATTCAGTAAATAAATATGCGTCATTAAGGACCGCTCATTTGGGGGAGAGCTTTCTGTATAACACTGAAGTTCTGTGCTCCACTGATTGGAAGATAATGTTTATAATAAAGAAATTTTGATAGATGGACCAGACTAGGGTTTGAAAAAATAAAAAAAAAAAAAGTTGAATGCACTTAATAGATATAAGAAAATGTGGTATGAGTGCCAATCAGACAACTATCCATCCAAGTCAAAATTTATAAAAGTAAACCATTATAGGTCACGGTACGGTCTTCAACACGGATCCTTGGCTCACACCGAACAGTAAGCTATAAAGGGCCCCAAAAATTACTAGTGTAAAAACATTCAAACTGGAAAACCAACGGTCTAATCTATATAAAAAACGAGAAACGAGAAACACTTATGAACCACATCAACAAACGACAACTACTGGACATCAGATTCCTGACTTAGGACAGGTCCAAACAAATGCAGCGGGTTTAAACGTTTTAATGGTACCAAACCTTCACCCTTTTTCTGAAACAATAGTGTAACATCACAACATAGAAAGACACACTATAAAATATCAACTGAAATAGCTTAACTCAATCAAAGGATTAATATATTTTACTACAGGTTTGAAAATTATTGGGGTCAGTGTAGGAATTTAGTGCGAATCTAAAGTGTTTGTAAACAAGACCATGTGAATGGCCCCAAAATGCCGCATGACCCTATGCTTTTATTTTTTGCAAAAGATGGGGCTACATTAATTCTGTACTTCGATGAATGATATAAAAGCTTCTAATTTCTAAAGGTAAACCAGATATACATATAAAACAAGATATAGATTTGCATTGCATGAAGTCATACTTATTCCATACCAATAGCAAGACCAACCCGAATAATCCAGTCGTTAAACTATGATCACTACAGTTAAAAAATAGTATTTATTCTTCCATAGGCAACAATACTAACATTTTCTAAAACTATCATTTTTTATAATAAAAACCTGGACAAAACACTTATGTGTGGTATTAGAACTTCATTATCCTGTTTTATAAATTGAAGTCAAATAGTATCATGACCATCTTCCAACGGAGCCATGCCCACCGTCATTTTACATCAAATTTAAGAAAATTTGGAAGTCTTTTCGAATAATTCCCAAGAAAATATTTCAATAGGTTTCAAAATTTGTAAATATACACACTGCAGTTATTCATAAATTAATAAAAAAAATAAACATTATACCTTTACATCCAATCACAGCGCTCCTAAGTCGACTTCCTTCACCTGCTTTTGGTACACAAAAGGCAACCTAAAGCCAGGAAAATGTAATACTACTTTTATCCCTACATTAACCTTAAACGCGGAGGAGAGAATCGGATACGGTAAGGACTTGAATTATTCGAGTTATAGCAAGCCTAGAAAATATTTATACGGATAATCTCATAGTTATGTACTAAATTTTACGGTGATGTTGTTTTTAGAGCATGTAATTATTAATATAAAATTATAATTCCATGTAAGCTTATATCCTTTGTATGAACTTATTACCAAAGATTATGAACTTATCATTATAATGAGATCCTTGAATATTGCTTTTTTTTAATCTAACATGGATTTTCTTATTGATAAATTTAAACATAACTGAATATGTTTTCCTATACAGTTATCAACATTACGGTTCAACATTTAGTTGAAACTTATATCTTGCTAATGTACGAGGTCATATTTTCCTAGTCTAGACTATTTCTGATAAAAACACAAATAAATGAAACGTTTACTACATATTTACTTTGAAATAAAATTGAGAATGGAAATGGGGAATGTGTCAAAGAGACAACAGCCCGACCAAAGAGCAGAAAACAGCCGAAGTCCAACAATGGGTCTTCAACACAGCGAGAAAAATCCAACACCCGGAGGCGGGCTTCAGCTGGCCCCTAAAAAAAATTTCGTACTAGTTCAGTGAAAATGGACGTCATACTAAACTCCAAAAACATATGAATGAACTAAAATTAAAAAACATACAAGACTAACAAAGGCCAGAAGCTCCTGACTAGGGACAGGCGCAAAAATGCGCTGGGTTAAACATGTTTAGTGAGATCTCAACCCTCCCCCTATACCTCTAGCCAATGTAGAAAAAACAAACACACAGCAATACGCACAGTAAAACTCAGTTTAAAAGAAGTTAGAGTCCGATGTCAGAATAGGTAACAAAAGAAACTAAGCAAAATGACAATGATACATAAATTAACAAAGGACTACTAGCAGTTACTGACATGCCAGCTCCAGACTCTAACTAAACTGATTGAATGACTATGTCTTCATCATATGAAAATCAAGCACAATCCCTCCCGTTAGGGGTTTAGTATCATACCATCATAAAATATATGATAAGAACATAACCCGTATCATGCCAACAACTGGGTTTAGAATAAATGTGTTCATTTCCGATGCAAAGACCCTATTAGTGAATCAATATTAATACCAAATATGCCATCTTTAATGACCTGGCAACAGTATCGTAACTATATACCTTCTGAATAAGTCTGTTTAAAGGTTTGGTTAGCTTTAGAAGTGAATGCCGACATTTTTGTGCTTTGTATATAATATTACCATAAAAGATTGGATGTGAAATACCCGAACGTATAAGATGTCTGCATGTTGATTTATATACGAATGATGTCCTTGTACCGATGATAAAATTTAGTAAATGTTTTGACTAGTTTGTGATATCGAAAACCCTGGTGTAATAATTTTTCAGTTATACAGAGATTTCTTTCGTTAAAATCAAATACGTTGTTACAGACACGAGCGAATCGAACAAGTTGAGATATATAAACACCAGCGAACGTCACCATCTAAAAACGAATAATTAACAATAGGAAATGAAAAATCATCTCTTTTATCATAAATTTTAGTAATAAGCTTCCCGTTAAAGATATAGATATCAAGATCCAGGAAAGGGCAGTGTTCATTGTTAGTATTAGCTTTATATAAAGTCATTTCAGCCGGATAAATCTCTTTAGTGTTCATACTGAAGTCGTCATTATTGAGAGCCAATATATCATCCAAATATCTAAAAGTGTTATTAAATTTTTGTATCAGATGTTGTTTCGATGGGTCTTTGCTGATTTTAGTCATAAATTGTAACTCATAACAATATAGAAACAGGTCTACAATAAGTGGTGCATAGTTAGTCCCCATTGGAAATCTGATAACTTGACGATATACGGAGTCTACATAGCGAACACAAATGTTATCAAGTAAAAATCCAAGGGCAGTTATAGTATCAAAGCAGGTACAATTGACATAGTTCTTTTGTTTGTAGTTACTAAAAAAAATGACCTAAAAGAGTTTGAACATATATATTCGCATTCTGACTTTTTAAATGCCCATATAATTAGGTGTGTGAATTTTTTCTTAATAAGATTATGAGGCAAAGTGGAATATAGGGTAGAAAAATCAAAACTTTGATCAGATTCGAAATCACCAATTTAAGCATGCAATTTATCAAATACTTCCGACGAATTTTTGACACTCCAAAAGTAATTAATTCCACCATTTTCAAAGGTCTTATTTGAACAATTTATTACCAGGTATTTGATTGTACAAAGTGCACTAGTAAGTAGGATAGACAGTTTAGCAGTGGAACAATGGCTCGAAGACGAAATAAATCTATAATTGTAAGGTGTTTTGTGCAGCTTCGGAAGCCAGTACATAGTTGGAACTTTCATTGTATTTGGTTCTGCTTGTAAAGAAGTGCTAAAAGTTTATTTTTGTTACAAATGTCATTTTCCGAAAATGGAGTCAGTTGGAATGTTGGCGAATTCGTGATTTCCTTTTGCAGAACCTCAATGTAAAATTTACGTCAAACAATAATGATATTATTAGCAGCCTTATCAGCCGGGACAAAACAAATTCCTTGGAGAGTTCTTTTAGCTTATGTTTGATACGAGAAATAGGGTTCTTTTAGCTTATGTTTGATACGAGAAAAAGGATTATACATGCTTTTCTTGCAAAACTTTCATAAAATGAGAAAACAAAATTACATGACATTTCACTGGTAATGTTAATAAGAAAATAGTATGTACATAGAGTTTAGGGATGAAAGTCAATAAGAAAACAACAAAATAAAGAAATTTGCTGAATTCAATTAAAATACATGCCGACTATCAAGAGTTCCAAGATAACCACCACAATATAATGACAGCCAATTTAAATAACACTAGAAACGAACCTTTCGTAAAAAAATGCATCGGATGATAGATGGTAAAAGTGATCGAAAATGTTAATGTGATATGAACATTTTTAGGTCTCCCGGCCTCTATATCATTCTGCTCATCTGTTAATAAAATTGCATATTCTATTATAGAAAACACACTAAAACGATCAGATAAATAGATTTCAGATTTTAGTTGTAGTAATATCGTAAGCTATTAACTGCTCAACACAATATGAAGCGTATTGAAGTTGTTCAGACAACAAACACCTTCATACTATAACTGTCAGCTGATATTTTTTAATATCAACATGCAGAAAACATGATAATATAGAAGACTGGCATGCTGAGCCGTATTTTAAACATGCTGGTTTACGAGGTTAACAGTCCACATGTACTATTACTCTATACTGAAACATTATTTCTTACCTGGGGGTCGTTATTTTGCCTTTCATTCATCCGGTTGTGGTGCAAAACTATTTTACCCCATAATTTGAGATGCATCGCTCGTGATATTAAACAACTTGAATAAATATTTTCTGATCTCCTTTTATATAATTTCAGTTCATGAGTGGGGATATCATCATGGCGTAGGTAAGTTATTTTTTTCGTTATATTATATGACATTGCTGATAAGAAAGTTGTGGTAAATTCAAATATGAGGGTATGGATGGGAGTTTACAGAATAGAGAATAATGGACAAAGAATAAAAAGAATAGAGAAAAATAGACCAAAAAATAACGAATAAAGAATAATGAGGAGCTAAAATATAAAGAATAAAAAATATTAGACAAAAAGTATAAAGAATAGAGAAAAGTTGCCTTAAAAATTAAAGAATACAGAAATGAAGGACCCCTATCCAGACCCTAACTGTGATAAATTAGACAGACAAGCTACACGATAAACAATGTCATTGCATTATAAATATCAATGATGACTGTATGATGATCGATATTTATTGTCCAACGGCAAATATTACAAACAGGAATACAATCATGTATGTAAAGTATAATATCATTCAAGAAATGATAATGTCTCAATGCTTAAAATCGCTGCTTAACGTCCAGCGGCAGATTAATATGCATATTCAGGACGAGAACATGTTAATGTATTATAAATATTAACCCTGCTTTTTACTAGGGCCGGATTTTCAACGTGCTAGTTCACAAAGTAACAGTCCGCAGGAAGACATGTCACCTTACCCGGACACTTTATTCTGACTCCGAGCCGACCAGTCTTTGCTGTTACTCATTAATGCCGCGTACTTAGCGGAGAAGTAGCAAATACCAATTTTTGTTTGTTTGACCCGACTAGGATTTGAACCCACAACCTCCCGCACCCGAAGCGAACATGCTACCACGAGATCACCTAGACATAAACCCTACAAAAAGTTAAACCAAAGTACATTTGTAAATATGTTATTTATATAATGCATATTTTAAGGTTTATCTTGTGGTATAACACATATCAAAAATATGCATTATATGACTTATATACCGCCAAAAAATATTAATTTCAAACCCACGACCTCCCACACTCGAGGCGAACACGCTACCACGAGAACACCGAGGCGGTTCTATAACAAAGGAAGAACGTGATAATTAATGTATATTATGTTTTCTGCAGGATGAAGGCGTTTAAAACATTTATTTTCAAAATTGCACATGCATAGCTGATTTATTAGAGTAATTTCTAAACATTGAATACTAGTAACCTTTTATTAGAAGACACATTTTTTTATATTTAGTCTGCACTTTTCATTAGCATCTTTAGGTATAGATAGATGTCCAGATCCAAATTCTATATTTACACAAAAAACATTAAATTTCAATAATTCATTGTTATTTAACTATGACAGTCTTTGATGCACAACCTCAATTGAAATATACGAGATTTCGTAAGCAAACTCTTTATGGTTCTTAGTTAACCTCTCACTAATAATAAAATAACGTTTAAGAAGAGAAAGATTTTTTTAAAAAGAACTAAATTTTTCGATGACATTTTGACGCATTTTATTTTTCCATTTTTCTGAGTACTATTAACCTAAAACCTTTTGGAGAAAATCTCGATATCATTGAGTTCATCGTTTTTATGTCTATTAAACTTGATCAACATAGGTTGACTGGAGTATAGAAATTAAATCACAAGGACTCTCTCATGCTGTAGTAAGAAAATGTTGATATGAGTTAGTAATTGGGCCGTAGTAATAACAATAACATTAGCGGTACCAATTTGTTTCACAAGATGCGAATTCTGACACCAAATGTCTCTTCAGTGATGCTCAAGGTCACAATATTTCTAAATCCAACACTTATAATAAAAACATGAAGAGCTTATAAACCAAAAAGGACAAAAAGTATATCAAAAGTCTTAGATATATAAATAAGAACCCAGCGTTAATCCCTGTGGACCCACTTGGCAAAGCTTATAATTGGTCCTGCATTTCCATTTTATATTTCACACTGGACAATAATCAAACAAATTTCAACCAATAATGAACTTCTTAATTAGGTTAAAAGAATTTTTTATACAAAATCATAATGTTTTTAAAGCCCTTATTATGTCTCAAAAATAAGCTGCTAAATATCTACTTTACTGCGTGCATGTCGTTTTAAAGGGTGATGACGTTTTTTACAGGGTGATGACGTTTTGCACAAAAAGGTCAGTCCGATACTTTCATAGATAAAAAAAACAACAAAAAACTACTATAAAATCCCTTTGTTTAACGAGCATTCATCGTACGGTAAAGAACACCAAGCTTAATTTTTAAGACAGTATATCAGATATCGTCTTCATCAATATAAGACAACTAGTCTAAAAACACTGTCTCATAAAACGTTTTCATGATTTTCCTGGACAACTTTATTGAATAATGATTGCTGCTCCAATTTTCCCTCTTATGTTTTGGAATCCATCTGAACTTTTCCACGCAATGTATTAAAACTTGTCCATCAAGTTCTCGTGGAATTCATATATTTCTTAATATTTTTAAGACTAATCATTTTATTATTATAGTAGATAAACTCAATGTTAAATATTTGTAAATTCTAGTGTTTCATATACATCTAATATGTTAAACATTCATTTTTAAACATATAATTCATATAAAAAAAAACAGAAACATATTTCCGCCAAAAGTTCTAGATCTCCCCTCTTTTCTTCCCAAAAAAGGAAGAGAGAGAGAGAGAGAGAGAGAGAGAGAGAGAGAGAGAGAGAGAGAGAGAGAGAGAGAGAGAGAGAGAACATAAAACAACCAAGCACAAGAAACTATCATACATCTTTGATACTGTGAGTGTATTATACATTATGAATCAATAAAAAGACGTCATTTATCCAATTTAAAATGTTGTATTCAGCAACGGTGGGCCAAAATTTACATATTAGATGAGTTTGCAATCAATCCTACTTGGTGAATATTAGGCATACTCTCTGTCATTATAGTCCCTTTTGTTTATGTTTTAATTAGACCCAGAACATTGGAAGGACTTATTCCCGACCTGTGCTGGGAGGCAACAGTCTCCGATAGATATCCGGACAAATAAGGTTCAGACTGATGCAAGATTGGGAAAGTTTAATTTCCGTGGGATCTCATTAGCTAGAGATGTGAAACTTGAACTTCAGAACAACGGACATGCCGGTATGTATGAAACATTACAAAGATGTGTCATCGTCAATTACCCTGGATTTTGCTCAATCTTGGTTTAAATATTTAGAGCTCTTTCCTTGATATCCCGTCGGACGAACGTGTAATGTCGTCATTTATTTATTTGCTAAAGTTTCTTTACTGTATATTTTTCACTTTTTGTATACTTGTTTAATGTGAAAACCGCAAATCTAGATGTGAATGATTTAAAAGTTACCAATGGCACAACAATGTATGATGGAAGGAAGAATCTTTATCGGGACGTTCGGAGGACTGGGTCTTTATTTTTGCGGAAATTCGGGATTGGATCTTTATCTTAACAGGGATTCGGGATTTACGCTAATCGGGACTCGGGATTCCTTATCCTTATTTTTGGGATCTGGTAAAAAATGCTTTATATTTTTGGAACTCGGGATGACACCGCCTTCTACCCCTTCCATGTGTGATATGAATATTTTTATAGCGTTTTTTTAATGTTAGGTCGTATATCATTTATTTCCCAACATTTATTATACATTGTACAATCAAATAAATAACGTTTCTTAATAACAAACATGAACACATTCCAGTGCAAGTTGGCCTAAAAGGTCATGGACTAGAGGTGTCTGGTGGTGGATTACCTGAAACGTATGTGGTGGAACAGTTCCACTTCCACTGGGGATCAGAAGATACCAGAGGATCAGAACATGAAATCAATGGGAAACATTTCTCTATGGAAGTGAGTAAAAACGATTGGTGTTAAGATCACGTGAAAACTTGGTGTTTAAATCACGTTAAAACTTGGTGTTAAGATCACATAAAACTAGGTGTTAGCTTACGTGCAAATATGTTTAGATCACGTGAACATTAGGTGATTAAATCACGTGAAAACTAGGTGTTTAGATCATGTGACTAGGTGTTGTTATCACAAGAATACATTCATTGTTTTGCTAGAAAAAAAGTCACAACGGGTTGTTTATAAAGGTCTACACGTAACGTTTATCAAAATCAATTAACCAATACTGCTATATTTTTTGTTTATGACTTTGATATAAGTGTCAAAATTTGCAAGTATAAACAATAAATGTTTCTAGATAATTTAGTCAGAAGTCAACTATAAATGTTTACAATAAGTGTTTACTATATCATTAATGTTGTAATTATGCTAAATGCTCAAGCCATTTAGGAGGGTCTGGATGGGGTCCTTCGTTTCTGTGTTCTTTTATTTTTTAGGCTATATTTCTCTATTCTTTATACTTTTTGCTCATTATTCTCTATTCTTTATTTTTTAGGACCTCATTATTCTCTATTCTTTATACTTTAGCACCTCATTATTCTCTATTCTTTATATTTTTTTGTCCATTTTTCTCTATTCTGTAAACCCCCATCCACACCCTCATCTAGTGAGTTTTTGATTGGAAAATGAAAAAGTTTCTTATTCATACAGTGTATTTTGAGACTGATCACACATTTCGTTAGCAATAGAGAGTAAAGATTGAACAAACGTTACAAAATGGGATATTTCATGTTACACGATACCAAATGACGTTACATTAAAGAGATAACTGTATTGTATTTGAAGCTTTGCGGACGTCCATCGGTAGATTTACTGTCGCAAATTGAGTTTACCTGGCGACGCGTATTCTAATGCAAAATAAACAAATCATTCAATTTTAGTCATTATTTCATTGTAAAATTTTCATTCAACTAAAATTCCGCGAAATGATGTTATCTTCTTTGGCGCCTAAACTAGGTGACTTCATAGGTATGCTTCCGGCGTCAAACGTAAACACCGGGCGTTTCCTGCCTCAAAATGTAATAAAATTTGATAAAAAGAAGATTTCTAGTTGAAAAATGTGAGTTTTTGCGTATTATTGGAGAATTTACATGTCAATACATTCCAGAATTCAAAATGTCGACTTCCTTTGTTACAGACAGGGAGATAGAGAATTTTATGCTTATTGTCATCCAATCAAAACCATTGATACAAAATAATTGCATAAGAATATGAGTTATCGTTCCTGACGTTATTAGACAGCGTTCATAGATGCCAGTCAATGCATGCAGCTGGTTTAACCGTGTTTCTGGCGGTTTATGGCACAATACATGTAGGTCATAAGCTATACTTTTATCACGAAATGATAATATTATAAAATAATCTTTTATTTTTGGTAAACATTTATAATTGTAACTTTGCCTAGATGCTGAGTGCCGAGAGATTTGATGCAATACATTATTTGACATTGATTGCTTTGTTGTCTTCCTCCCATTCTTCCTCTAATTCTTTACATTTAAATATATACTTTTTGAATGATCTGTTTCAATTGATAAGTAAGCATTAAATTTTGTACGATTTATCTATATTCTTATGCATAGTAGACTGTTTGTTTTAACCTGGGTTGTTTTATTGTTTGCAATAAATTCTTATTTATGATGCACGCCGTTTCCCGATGAAATTTTGTTTTGAAAGTAGAAATAAAAATTAAAGAAACGCAGGATAATGTGTGAAAATACGTGAATCTGTACCACTATAAATGCAATTCTGTTAAGAAACCCATTCGTTTTAAAATGGTCGCTGAAAAACGCCGCTAGCAAAATAGAAAAAGGAAATTTATTTGGAAGAGAATACGGATAGAATTCATCACAAAAAGCACCATACACGCAGACGTGGAAACACCGACAGAAAATGGTTTGTAGGCATGGAACGAAAAAGAAGAATAGTTGAACTTGGTAATTTGGACGAACAGTCTCTAAAATTTATTGAACTGTACAGAAGAAATTAGACATGGTATCGGAAGCTTGTTAGAAAGAAAGTGCTAACTGTGTAATCATATAAGCGCAGTCTACACAGGACAGCAACATCGGAATGAGGACTAAGTTGACAAAGGTTTAAAAAAAATGGGATGTCATCACTTATAAAAAAATGTACCATGCTTAATGTACACGACGGTTAGAACGGAAAAATATTTATTATCAAATCCCATTCCATATTTTTTTTTGGCAATTCCATTCTGAAATAAATCCTTTCCTCTAAATTTCCAATCAAACGATTCATTAAATTAAATTGTGGCCACACAATAAATGAATGATCGGTGCTTTGATGAAGGCTAATCCAGAAACGCACTTCGAACGTAAACAAATTATAAAGAAATATTGTCATAAACCTATATTATTCAAACGGCAGAAACAAACTGAAAAAACAAAAGAGATCTTCAATCATTTTGATTTCAGGGAGCTACCATTTGATTTTATGGGGTGGGGGCTAGGATAAAACATGTTGTCCTGCATATTTTTTTAGTTGTAATTTCTGTCCTGCCTTTTTATTTTTCACTCTATTCGCTCCTGCCTTTTTTTTATTAGTTTATCATGACTTTTTTTACATAAATTGTCATCTTGCCTTTTTGTTTTGCAAAGTTGGTCATCCTGCCTTTTTTTCAAATTTCATCCTAGCCCCCGGGTGCCACATGTGGAGCAGTATCTGCTTACCCTTCTGGAGTACCTGAGATCACCCCCAGTTTTATTTTGGTTTCGTGTTGCTCAGTCTTTTGTTTTCTCTGTTGTGTTTTGTGTACTGTTGTTTGTCTGTTTGTCTTTTTTCTTGTTTAGCCATGGCGTTGTCCGTTTATTTTCGATTTATGAGTTTGAACGTCTCTTTGGTATCCCTCGCCTCTCTTTTGTAGATTACTGAATTATTTTAAGCACCAATATGCATGCTAACCCAAACATTTATCTTGTTTTAGATGCATGTTGTAATGCACTCTGGCAGATTTTCCAGCGTCAGCGATGCCATGCAGAGTAAAAATGGCCTGGCTGTTTTGGGCTTCCTCTTCGATGTAAGTTAGAACAAAACGTCTTAAGAGAAGAAAAGGACAATAAAATCAACAATAACAGTGTACTGAAATATGGAAACATCGCAAAAAATATTTGTACGAAATTTTATAAATGTATGATGATAGTTAGATGGGTCGTGAGGGAAAAACTGACAATTTTGACATTTATAAAAAGAAACTTAAGAAAGTAAGAAACAAAAACAGAATAAGACATTGAAAGTAACTGTACAAATGCACCAATATAGATATAAGAAGATGTGGTATGAGTGCCAATGAGACAACTATCCATCCAAGTCAAAATTTATAAAAGTAAACCATTATAGGTCACAGTACGTTCTTCAACACGGAGCCTTGGCTCACTCCGAACAGTAAGCTATAAAGGGCCCCAAAAAATTACTAGTGTAAAACCATTCAAACGGGAAAACCAACGGTCTAATCTATATAAAAAACGAGAAACGAGAAACACTTATGAACCACTTCAACAAACGACAACTACTGAACAATATGTCCAAATAAAGAAAAGACAAACAACAACGAATAACACGTGGTCCATATAGAATGAGTACTCTTTAAAAAAAAAGGTAAGAGTCAAAAAATATACTCTGTTTGTTAAAAGGTCAAGTACAGTTTTTGCAAAGGATTTTTATTTCTTTTTTTGAATATGAATGTTTTATAATATTATATGATATAATATATTCTAAGCTTTTTTGATACACAGATTATATTCTGTTTGTTAATGAGTGAAGTTTGTTTTGTCATTTTTTTTTTTTTTTAAGGTTGGTCCACATAATTCTGTTTTTGACGAAATCATCCATCATTTGCATAATATAGAACACAGAGGTAATTGAAAAAATGGTAATTGAAACAAATTAGAAATGATGGTGCATTATGGCAGAGGATATGTTTCGAGCGTTTCACGAACGACAGATGTTATTTATAATCTGATAATCTAGCTGAATTGCTTATTCACTTTGAATAATTTTGCTTCGTTTTAGAATCTAGATCTAGTGTAAGGGACATAACTCTTTAAAAATCGCTTGTACGTTTGCGTCAACAATTTTCATTAATATATTCTAAGCTTCTTTGCTACACAGATTATTGTTTCAATCAAATGCTGAAATACATTGATACAACTGCCTATTACAAACGTTTTTTTTTTTAATTTAATGAGTTATTTCCTTTAACCCAGGTCTACCCCTTAAGTAACGCGGATTCCCTACTCTTTCCGCCTTGACGGGTGGTATATAGTGATTGGATAGTCTATTCGTTCGTCCGTCCTTCGCACTCTTCAATCTGCAACGGCTCCTGATCCACTGTACAGAAGTTTATGGAACTTTCACACATTCTTACTCACATGGTGTATATTTTTTGCACCTCTTTTTTCATTTTTCATCAGAATTAATTGTTTGTTTTACTTCGGCATTACATGGATCTTGTCTTGTTATATCCGCACACTACAGCCATGAGGATCTGAATGGAATTCCTTCATTCCTGTATTCCTTAATTTTTTAGATCATTTTTCTGTATTCTTTATATTTGTAGTCCATTATTCTCTATTCTTTATTTTTTTTGCCATATTTTTCTCCATTCTTTATTTCATTTGCCATTTATTCTGCACGTTTTGCCCATTCAAGTTTCTCTATTCCGTTAACCCCGCCAGACCCTCAGACATGGCAATGATAATTTGTATATAGTTATTTCTCTTCTTAAACCCTCACACTTGATAGTATTGTTAAAATAATTGACACCGAAGAAGGCTATTTGTTAAGCCGAAATATTTGTCAACACGATTTATTAACAACATCTTCGTATAATACCATCTTATATTAGTATCGTTGTGCAAATCTCTAGACTTATATATATATATATATATATATATATATAGGAATTTAATGAAACTTTCCCAAAA